AGCCAAGTCAAGTCAGTCTTGACCACTTTGTTATTTTTTGTAACTTGATAGTTCATTTTGAAAAGTTCTTTAGGTCTTTTACTACTGAGGTGATAGAAAATATAATTGGCGTGCTCTTGCATTTCATTTCATGAGATGGTTGATTAAACATGGGACCAGGAAGAGTAAGATTTCAGGGGGAGGTGGAGGTTTCATTTGATTCTCGTATTTCATGTACGTGACATGTCGTTTCGCCTTATTTAATACATTTATGCCTTGTTTGAGATGGGTTTAGACAGTTTGCGAGTGGCTGTAGATGTTTTTGAGGTGGTTTTAGGTCATTGTTGAAATTTTTGAGGTTGTTGTAGATGGTTGTAGGTTGTTTTAGGTGGTTTTAGGTTGTTCCATGTTTTAGTACTTACCTAAAAAAGCTATGAAGCAGCTTTGTTCCTATTATTTTAAAATAATTTTTGTCTGGATAGTCAATTTACAGGGGAAAAAAAGTGTCAAGTCAACACAAAAAATTGTAGGTTGATTTTTTTGTAATGTTCATAACAGAGTTTAACCCAAAAATTTTGGAAGCCTTTGTTAAAGAAAGGAAAGTTTCTTTTCTGCTGGTCGCGTACCCTGTGAGGAATGTTTGTGCAAATTATACATTGAAAACTGTGCAAAATAAGTAATTGTTAAGGAAACTAGTTTCCAAGAAATTGGTCTATGAATGTAATGTCTGTAACATAGAATTGCCCTCATGATTCTCGAAGTCATGATGCATGGCACATTTCGTTTCAAAGAAACAGGGGTCAAAGTGACTTTTAAGACTTTATTATGTCCTTACAATCATAGAAAAATTGTGCTGGTGGATTTTACTGATAAAAATAGAATCTTAGATATGGTTAATGATAGAACTGAAGTGTTTATTGAGTAAGGTGTAGAAAGAGATGAATATATGTAATGAAAGATTTCAAAATTGAATGCTGGTCCAGCTTGTAACACAAGCATGCATATGAATGGGTGATTTTTTTTTCTATTAATAGCATAAACAATAACTTTCTATTAAGCTGTTGTTTCTTAGCTCTGCCTGAACAGTTAATGAGCTAGAGTGATATTCCCTGAGGAGGAAAGTCTGCATAATCTGTGACCAATCAAAGTTCTCTAGAGTACAGTTTGCTACTAATATTACAGATCTGTATATTTTTCAGTACTGTTAGTAAATGTCACGAGAAAAATGGGCATTCTGCACAATGTGTTGGTGTGTTGTGTGTGTGTGTTATCACCTTTGTCCCTGAAATCATATGGAGGGTCACATTTGGTCAGCCTTTGTGAATCATGGTGGTTTTTGTTGTTGTTGTTGTTTTTTTTTTTTTAATTCTCGTTAAATTGTGATAATTATAAATGAATTAAGTGGGTAAGTTTCTAAAGAAACTGTGGTACTGCCTCGGTGGGGAGTAAACCAGGATAATTTAGTATTATCAATTGAGTTGATAGTGTTTAAAAAGATTACATTTTGAGTGTTAGGCCTTCGTCAGAGCAATTGGGCTGACAAACAAATTGTTAGCTTTTAAACTCGTCACAGTAGCAAATTTACATTATCAATTAACTCAGCTGATAATATGAAATTACTTTGATATAATTATATAATGTTGTGGTTAATACCACTTATAACCTTGGGCACCTGTTAGTGCCCTTATTTGTGACTGTCATTGTCTTTCATAACTGATATATAGTAACTGTTGTTCTGCTGCTTCCCTTTTCAGACTTTCTGACTTTATCCCTGATTCAAGGGTTGTTTTCTTGAACCCAGGAAACTCTATACAAGGTAGGTGGACAAACACTGCTTTTTTTTTTCTCATTTTTGAAAATTGCCTTTGTTTTGTCAATCTGTACTGACCCTTTAATTGCCATGAGTGACCAAGACAGAATTCCTCCTTACAATATCAACACAATATCAACCAGAAAAGTGATGAGAGTGAAGAAAAATATAAATTTGGGGATAATTAGTTGATCCAATACTAAATTCTCTGAACTAACATTATAAGAATTGTATGGTTGGGAGTAAGGAGAATTACAAATTTGATGTGGGAGTTAAAGGGTTAATAATTTATTTGCTGGGATTAATTGTGTCCTGTTTGCATATGTTTAGAATTCTGCATGCTCTCATTTCACTCATGTCTATGTGAGTATTAATTATTTTGCCCTTAATGTTATGTCAAGAACTATTCATTATATTACTTACCTATTTAATTATGTTGTGATCGATGGTTGTGATTATGTTTGGCTACAAACAAGTGGAAATGCTCTTAGAAAATGTTGCTGAAATTCTGGTGGTCCTTTTAATATACTGCTGGTTTAGTTACTGAGTACAGCTTGGTTTGTAGAGTGCTTCAACTGAAAGTTGACTTATGATCATTAACATAATTGAGAGACTTAATTTTATGCTGATTGAGTCATCTCTTTGGTTCCTGTGTTGGGTGGTCACTGGGTCACTGATTAAGACTTATTAATTTATTTAAAATCAAAGTTTAAGCTCCCCTCCTAAAACAGGAATATGGAAGATCTTGTGCAGAGAGCTGGTTCCATCCTTGACAAAGTACATATGGATTAGAAATTATCACCCCATGCTTGCATGTCATGGGAAATTAGTACATGCATGCAAACTGCCTATCATAGGTTTTGCCAAGTTAAACCTAACTTAAGTCCTTCAAGTTGCCCTTTGGTAATTAGCAGCTACAGGTTAGATTACTTTTGATGATGTTTGTAGCATGTCAACGACAAAAATCTAACCCAATGCTGGACGAATCACAAAGATCATGTAAACAATCCAAAATGTTGTGGATTAGGAGACCCTAAATTGTTTAAAAAATAGTAATCTGAAAGTTGACTTTGCGGGAAATGGCCAAGAGAGGCTGTTTATTTTGTCCAATGAAAATTATATGAAAATAGCTGGCATGCTGAAAGGTTTAAAATGATTTCAGTAAGACACATGTATTCCTTAAGTCTCGCCAGAGGAACAAAACTAATAGAACTCAACACAAAGAAGAACTTGCAGAGAGGATTTTTTTTCAAAATGGGTGTACTTTGTAAATGAGAGCAAGTAATATTATTTTGTTATGGACATTACATAACGTTGGTAACAAAAACAGTCCTCTTTTTTTGTTTCTCTGAAATTAAAAACCAGTTTTTTTTGTCAGTTTGGCTCCTTTTTTACTTTCTAGGGGCCTATAGCTAAACTTGAGTGTTTTAAATTACCAAAATCCTGGAAAAACACAAGAAAAAATAAAGCCCACATTATAATTATTATGGACATTATGACCGCATGACTTAAATTATGGTAATTCTTTTGGGAGAAATGAATGCTACATGCATACCAATTTTGTTCAAATTTGTCACATCCAAGTTTTCAGTGCTTTTGACTTAATACTAATAACAATAACCATAACAACAGCTGTACATTAGCAATATCAACACCATGCTTACATGAGGAGTATAAATTTTCAAAAAGTCTAAGTCTAAGTATGGATTAAGTTTACAGTTTTCCCCTTTTCAGGCAGTAACTGGTAACATTTACTGCCTGTGGTACCTCTTATTACCATTTAAAATTGCTTGGAATTCTTGAAATTTAAAATGTAAATTAAAGGATTGCTTTACCAGTTTTAAAATTTATTTTACCTGTAATGCTTAAAATAAGGGAGAACACTGAGTTTACTGAAAGACTTATCATATTTAGAGTCAGTACCTTCTTTTTATAGTATCTGAAAAAACAAATTAAAATATAACATGCAATGTTTCAGAAATGTAGCTTAAAACAAGCAATATGTCAACTTTCAAAGGCCATTGCACTGATAATACTATAGAGAAAGTTGTCAATTCATACAGTTCAGTGCCTTGTAACTTTCCAAAATAGTATCAACTGGCTTATTGAGAGTCAATGAATAGTACTCTTACAAAAAGTTCAGAACAATCCAAGTTTAGTAATTAAAGCAGTGTTAAACTACTGCAACCTTCGGTTAGTATGATCGTTTATTTGAAAACATTTCTTTTCCAAGATGTTTAAACAGCCTCTCAACACATGAAAGACCTGGAACATTGAAAGGTCCAGTGCCTTTCAGCTCTTTGGAGCCATAGGAGACTCTTCTGTTGTGGAGAATATCAATATTGCTCCTCAGAGGCCAGTGAAATGCTTTGACAACTTGGTGAAGAAATTTGATTTCAACCTCATTATCAGTAACCCTGAGGGCTCTTCCGATGTAAAACTCGGTATCTGCACTAGAAAGCAAGAACCAAAAGACAGCACAAACACCAGTTAGAGCATGCTCAAGAAAACTGAATCATACATAATTTACATTATCAACCCAGCTGATAATATGAAGTTACTGTGATATAATTATATAATGTTGCCGTTAATACCACTTATAACCTTAGAGCACCTGTTAGTGCCCATATTTGTGACTGTTATTGTCTTTTATAACTGATATATGGTAACTGTTGTTCTGCTGCTTCCCTTTTCAGACTTTCTGACTTTATCCCTGATTTAAGGGTTATTTTCTTGAACCCAGGAAACTCTATACAAGGTAGGAGGACTTGCTGCTCTTTTTTTCTCTCATTTTTGAAAATTGCCTTCATTTTGTCAATCTTAATTAACCCTTTAATTGCCATGAGTGACCAAGACAGAATTTCTCCTTACAATATCAACACAATATCAACCAGATAAGTAATGAGAGTAAAGAAAAATATAAATTTGGGGATAATTAGTTGATTCAATACTAAATTCTTTGAACTAACATTATAAGAATTGTATGGTTGGGAGAAAGGAGAATTACAAATTTGATGTGGGAGTTAAAGGGTTAATAATTTATTTGCTGGGAATAATTGTGTCCTGTTTCCATATGTTTCTACATGCATCACGATTTGAAATCATTCTCGGTCTCTATTGGCTATCAGGATTTTTTTTTTTCAAATGGATTTGATCAACATAACACAATGTCAATTCATGTTTGACAGGTCATCCTGGTAAAGTCAGTTTCATGGCTACGGCACCATCGCCATTTGCGTCTACGAAAGAGACTACAAACTATGCAAGGCTATGCCGCCTCCTGGTGGACGTTGGATCTCAAGTGCTCCGGTCCACTTTTGACAAAATACATCCACCAGCGACTCTACATAAAGTTTTGGGAAGTACCTCAGTGCATTACGCTACATTGCAATCACTGTACAAAGGGAAGAAGAAAGTGCTTAATCCCATGCAATGGGGAAGGTTGTACCCTACTCACTCACCCGTGTCTTCTGCAGCCTTCGATATCACACTTCTAACGGTGCTTCTTAGAAATATCTGTGGTTTGGGCCCTCCTGCCAACGGATGGGATCGTCTTCCCCTAGCTACAGACATAAGCATCGCAGATGATATCGCCAGAGTGAAGTATTACAGAAACACTGTATGCGGCCATGCATCTCAAGCCTTTGTGGATGACATTAGTTTCAGTGCTTACTGGCAGGAGATACGAGAAGCCTTGGTGAGACTGGGAGGAGCTCATCTTAGAGCTGAAATCGACAATCTTGAGCACGATTGCATGGATCCAGATGTCGAGGAGCATTATCGTGAACTGATGAAACAATGGAAGAAAGACGACGACAGCATCAAAGACAAGCTTGAAGAAATTGAAAGTAAGAAAAATATTGTGTACTGCCAATATGGATGAATCAGAAGACTAGAAAAGTGTATATTTCCAGTATTTATTTCAGTTAACACGGCAGTGTAGGCTAGCTCATGATGTTTTAGTTTTAGTCGGAACTAGTTTCATTTTTGCGTTGTGTGCAAAATGAAGAACTAATCCAAATGTTGACACTATGTTTTCATTCGCAGTATTTTTGTCTGTTCGTGGGTACTCGTGTACAACTGTTGGAGTGCGTTTTTGTAATTTCTAAGCGTCTTATTGAGTTTGATCTATTCGGAATCGACTAGATATTGGTATACCTATCATTGTTTTATCTGCACCTAACGTGAAGCTGTGATATAAATTTGCTTATGAAAATGCGCATTTTTTTTTAATTTTCAGATTCGCTGGAAAACGCGAAAAGCATTATGGAGAGAAACTTCAGAGACACAATTAAGAAGATAGAGATTGAAATGAAAGAGGTGAAAGAAAAGCTGAGTAGTCTGACGGCCTCAGCTGAAAAAAGCGGACAAGAAGGTTAGTTGGTAGAAAGAGCTACTCACAACAAAAAAATTATTAAGAGCGACAATGTTTTCTTGTGTTCATAACGCAGCTCACGTTCATCGCTGGATGTCGGCCAACACAGCATACTTTAGTTCTTTACTAGTGTAAGAACACACCCTACATGAAGGTTCTCTGTAATCCGTGGGATGCCACGGAATCTGAGATTTTCCGCCCTGGCTTCCTCTCGGATTTGATAGTGTTTTAATAGCACTCATACATGTGTATAATCGTAGGCGAGATAGGTTATAGTCTTATTTTAGTATTACCTTTCTTATAATGAACCTAACTTCCTAGAAGCGTTAGATGTGACCCACATATTTCTCAATGAAATAGCCAAATCCTTCCTCCTGGTGTATTGTGGATTATTCAATTCTGCATGGGAAAATAGTTAAATGAGGATCGTCTTGAGTAAAATGGGTTAGAATAAGATGTATGTGGATATTCTACATTTACTTCGAAAAAAAGACTGTAGGCAAAACTTCCCTCTTTATCGCAGGCGGGTCTCTAGATTTCTACAGCTTTTTTTTTTTTTTTTGCATGATGAATCACCGCGGTGTAGGGTAACTCATGATGTTTTCATTTTGGACGGAACTAGTCACGTATTTGGAACATTATTCTTGTGTTATGTATGAAAAATGAAGATTAACCCAAATGGTCACACTGTGTTTTCATTGGCAGTATTTTTGTGTGTTGGTGGGTTCTCGTGTAAAACCACTGGAGTGCATTTTTGTGATTTCTAAGCGTCTTGTTGAGTTTGATCTATTCGGAATTGACTAGATATTGATATACGTATCATTGTTTTATCTGCGCCTAAAAGTGAATCTGTGATGTAAACGTGCGTATGAAATTCCTTTTTATCTTTCTTACATTTCACCTTCGCTAGGTGACCTCAGAGACACAACTGAGAAGATAGAGATTAAAATGAACGAGGTTTTACAGAGGCTTAGTAGCCAGACGACCACAGTGGAAAAAAAAAACAAATGAAGGTTGGTTGCTTGAAAGTGCTACTCACAGATAAACTGAACTATAAACAGGGATTCTGTTAACTTGAGTACATAACACATCTTTTGAGCATTACTACATCGTTCGCTTAATGTCGGCCAATTTTACATTTTTTTAGTTAATGTATTGTTGTAAGAGCACACCCTGGCTACCAATCTACTCTGGCTTCAAATGAAGATACTGAGTAATGTATGGAATGAGAGGGATGGCACGGAATCTGAGGCTATCTCTGGGATTGGATAATTTTCTGACAGTACTCGTACACATTTAGCCGAGAAGGTTATTGTCTTACTCTAGTTTTACTTTTGTTAAGGACATAATGAGAAGTGAAAGGGCAGAAAGGCGTTCTTTGGTTTTTGTTAATTAGTTCCTACATTGTCTCTTTTGACCGACAAGAATCTTACTGAGACTATCGGCTCCAATGTTATCAATATCTATCTCCCGAGTTTCACTATTAGAAACCGCTGAAGCCGAGCCATAAGCTTTTTTAGAATGTTATTTAAAATTTAGAAAAAAAAAGGAAGGAAGGAAAAGGATCTTTCTAGTTAACTTTTAATGAATAAAGTGACTCTCACTCGGACTAAAAGTTCCAATGTTATTCCACGAAAAGGGTCTCTTGACGAAATGAGAGGCGAAAATGGCAAAGATGGACAGCGAACTAAAAGAAGTGAAAGAAAAGCTGTCTACTTTGGCAGCCCCAGTGGGAGAAAGCAAGGGTGAAGGTTAGTTGAATTATACAATAAAAGTTGTCCTGCTTAACCGCAAATTTAGCCTTAGTAAACATGTCCTGTATGTAAGAGCGAGAGAGAGTGAGAGAGATAATCCTATGTTAAAGAGATTCAGCTCTTTAATTTAAACAATCTCTGGAATAGTCTCTGCGGTGTACTTTCATTCCTTCAATTGTTTAAACGTTCACTCGTTATTAGCCTGGAAACATTATATTTTTATTAAAATGTAGAACGATGTAAAAATAACGTACAGTTTTAACGAAAATATTGACGTTAAGTTCGACTCGATGTTAGAAACTAACAGAGTGGGTTCGACTGAATTTATAATCTAAATGGCTTTTGGTCAGTAAATTAACATGAATCATACATTGATACCTTTTCATCGTCCAAGTAATTTCTTTGGCAATGGTGTCGTACTCGTTCACTTATTTAAATTCAGTGCCGAATACCTAGTGGCATTAGATGTAATCCGCATATTTCTGAATAAAATAACCAAACCCTTCCTGCACTCATATTGTGGAGTATTCAATTCTACATGGGAAAATAGCTGAATGAGGATCGTCTCGAGTAAAATAGGTTAGAATGAGATGTATGTGGTTATTTTACATTTCCTGAGGAAAGGACTGTTGGCAAAACCTCCCACTTCATAGCAGGCGAGCCTCCGGTTTTCTGCAGCACTTTTGATGAAACCGCGCGACAAAGAAGGCAGAAAGGCGTTGTTTGGTTTTCATTTATTAGTTCGTAGTCTCGCTATATTCCGAAAAAGCCTTGCTCAGACTACGGCTCCAATAATATGAATACTTATCTCCCGAGTAATTTATTTTACAACAGATTTTCACTGTCAGACATCGCTAAAAACGAACAAACAGAGTAGGTTCAACTTAATTGAAAATCTAAATGGCTTTTAAATTAGTAGGCATGAATCATACACTTAAACCTTTTTGCATCGTCAAAGTAATTTCTTTGGCAACGGTATCGTACTCATTCGCATATTTAAATTCAGTGCCGAATACCAGAGATGTACCACAATTTTCAATGCTGCATTCATTAGATTTATTACCTATTTTGCTACTGCTAGGTGTTTTTGATCCAACTGAGCTTATCAATGGAATTCGCCAGCTGTACAAGACTCGCGAGGGATGGCTCTCACCATTTCCATGGTGTGAAGAGTTTCAGTTTTTTCTTGGCAATATTTTTACAAGGCTTAAAGTGGTCAGAAGAAAGAAAACGAGAGGAGAAATCACTGACGTATTTGTTGACATGTCGTCAATACTAGACCCGTATGAAGAGTGTTCAGCGCCGAGAACAGTGTTGATTGAAGGAGAACCTGGTATGGGAAAAACCACCTATTGTAAAAAGTACGTCTACGACTGGGCCACAAAACAGCAAGCACCTCAAGGCTGCGGCTCAACAGCATTTAAAGTGGTATTGTTGCTGAAATGTCGAGATATCCACTCTGACGTTTGGGAAGCCATTGATGATCAGCTGCTGCCCTAGGCATCGATGAAAAAGTCAAAGAACAATTTTTCAGTTTATTCGTGAAAATCAGTCCAGCATTTTATTGATATTGGATGGATTGGATGAGTTACCATCCGGGAAATTGTCGATGTTTTCCAAATTAATTGAAGGAAGAGAACTCCCCAGATGCCACATAGTTGCAACAGCAAGACACGAAGCTGGAAAAGAGGTGAGAAAATGTTGTGACGCGCTGCTTCAGATCGAAGGATTCACTATAAAGCATGTGAAAGAATTTGTCACCAAGTACTTTAAAGAAAGGACGGATTTAGCCACAAAGCTCTCGCAACGGATGTCGCGAGATAAAAACCTAAGAGAAATAGCGGCCAATCCTCTAAACACAGCACTTCTTTGCCTTTTTGCGAAGAGTTTGAGGGCACACTCCCCGAAAGCAGAGCTCAACTGTACTTGGATATGGTTGAATGTGTTTTGAGAAGATATAGAAAAAGGAAGGGACTACTAGAAACGATCGAAGACTTGACAAACTATTACAAACCGCAATTGAATCACCTTGGAAAGGTAGCGTTGAATGGTTTACTTGACGATAAGTTGGATTTTAATGAAAGTGAATTGAGAAACCATGCAAAAGACCTGACTGAATTTGGATTTCTGTCAGTGCAGCCTGGTGGCAGCAAACTGAGACAAACACTGCATTATGCCTTCTTACATAAAAGTTTTCAAGAATTCTTTGCAGCACTCTTCATTTGTTCTCAGATTCAAAGCAAGGAAATGAAACCTGAAGAACTAGTTTCCGATCCAAGGTATTTCGTTGAACTTAAACAAATACTTTTGTTTTCATGTGGAATTTTGGCCATGAAATGCAATGAACAAGTTGTGGCTCTTGTAAAGAGTTTAACAAATGAAGTCAACAAAAATAAAGGATGTGGTACAAAAATTGTATTGGAAGCCATCAACGAATCTAAAGAGAAAAAAGCGATTTTCACTCGTATTTATCGAAGTCGTTTGGAACTGGTTTGAATCTGACCAATTTGAATTTGTTAAATAATGATATTAGTGATGCGGGTGCTACATGTATTGCTGAGGCAATCAAAGTGAACAAGACGCTAACCAATTTGGATTTGTCTTTCAATGGTATTAGTGCTGCGGGTGCCACATGTATTGCTGAGGCAATCAAAGTGAACAAGACGCTAACCAATTTGGATTTGTCTTGGAATCGTATTAGTGCTGCGGGTGCTACATGTATTGCTGAGGCAATCAAAGTGAACAAGACGCTAACCAATTTGGATTTGTCTGGGAATGATTTTAGTGCTGCAGGTGCTACATGTATTGCTGAGGCAATCAAAGTGAACAAGACACTAACCAATTTGAATTTGTCTGAGAATGATTTTAGTGCTGCGGGTGTTACATGTATTACTGAGGCAATCAAAGTGAACAAGACGCTAACCAATTTGGATTTGTCTCACAATGGAATTAGTGCTGCGGGTGCCACATGTATTGCTGAGGCAATCAAAGTGAACAAGACGCTAACCAATTTGAATTTGTCTCGGAATCGTATTAGTGCTGCGGGTGCTACATGTATTGCTGAGGAAATGAAAGTGAACAAGACGTTAACCAATTTGAATTTGTCTGGGAATGATTTTAGTGCTGCAGGTGCTACAAGTATTGCTGAGGCAATCAAAGTGAACAAGACGCTAACCAATTTGGATTTGCGAAAGAATGGTGTTAGTGATGCGGGTGCTACATGTATTGCTGAGGCAATCAAAGTGAACAAGACGCTAACCAATTTGGATTTGCGAAAGAATGGTGTTAGTGATGCGGGTGCTACAAGTATTGCTGAGGCAATCAAAGTGAACAAGACGCTAACCAATTTAAATTTGCGAAGCAATGGTATTAGTGATGCGGGTGCTACATGTATTGCTGAGGCAATCAAAGTGAACAAGACGCTAACCAATTTAAATTTGCGAAGCAATGGTATAAGTGATGCGGGTGCTACATGTATTGCTGAGGCAATCAAAGTGAACAAGACGCTAACCAATTTGGATTTGCGAAAGAATGGTGTTAGTGATGCGGGTGCTAGAAGTATTGCTGAGGCAATCAAAGTGAGCAAGACGCTAACCAATTTGAATTTGTCTCGGAATGATGTTAGTGATGCGGGTGCTAAATGTAATGCTGAGGCAATCAAAGTGAACAAGACGCTAACCAATTTGGATTTGTCTTACAATTATCTTAGTGATGCGGGTGCTACATGTATTGCTGATGCAATCAAAGTGAACAAGACGCTAACCAATTTGGATTTGTCTTACAATTATCTTAGTGATGCGGGTGTTACATGTATTGCTGAGGCAATCAAAGTGAAGAAGACGCTAACCAATTTAAATTTGTCTGGGAATGATTTTAGTGCTGCGGGTGCTACAAGTATTGCTGAGGCAATCAAAGTGAACAAGACGCTAACCAATTTGAATTTGTCTGGGAATGATTGTAGTGCTGCGGGTGCTACAAGTATTGCTGAGGCAATCAAAGTGAACAAGACGCTAACCAATTTAAATTTGCGAAGCAATGGTATTAGTGATGCGGGTGCTACATGTATTGCTGAGGCAATCAAAGTGAACAAGACGCTAACCAATTTAAATTTGCGAAGCAATGGTATTAGTGATGCGGGTGCTACATGTATTGCTGAGGCAATCAAAGTGAACAAGACGCTAACCAATTTGGATTTGCGAAAGAATGGTGTTAGTGATGCGGGTGCTACAAGTATTGCTGAGGCAATCAAAGTGAACAAGACGCTAACCAATTTAAATTTGCGAAGCAATGGTATTAGTGATGCGGGTGCTACATGTATTGCTGAGGCAATCAAAGTGAACAAGACGCTAACCAATTTAAATTTGTGAAGCAATGGTATTAGTGATGCGGGTGCTACATGTATTGCTGAGGCAATCAAAGTGAACAAGACGCTAACCAATTTGGATTTGCGAAAAGAATGGTGTTAGTGATGCGGGTGCTACAAGTATTGCTGAGGAAATCAAAGTGAGCAAGACGCTAACCAATTTGAATTTGTCTCGGAATGATGTTAGTGATGCGGGTGATACATGTAATGCTGAGGCAATCAAAGTGAACAAGACGCTAACCAATTTGGATTTGTCTCAGAATGGAATTAGTGCTGCGGGTGCCACATGTATTGCTGAGGCAATCAAAGTGAACAAGACGCTAACCAATTTGAATTTGTCTCGGAATCGTATCAGTGCTGCGGGTGCTACATGTATTGCTGAGGAAATCAAAGTGAACAAGACGCTAACCAATTTGGATTTGCGAAAGAATGGTATTAGTGATGCGGGTGCTACAGGTATTGCTGAGGCAATCAGAGTGAACAAGACGCTAACCAATTTGGATTTCTTTGGCAATGGTTAAACAACTTTGAAGTAGAAGGGCACTGCCTTTAAAGTAGGCAGGTACCCTTGAAAATTGAGGGCCATTCGATATGTCATTTCACAGTTTCCTTACAGTATTTTGAATTTTGTCTTGAAGAATCCGAAGAAATTTTTTTTAAGTGTCACGCTTGGATCTCTTCACTCTGTGAAGAGTCGGCGAAAAGGACAATATTCAAATTTTTTCACTTTCTAGAAGCGCTTGAGGATTTTAAAGGAAGACAAAATACTTCCAATAGAAACTGGTATTTTTCAAAGAGAAATATGGAAAAATATCAGACTGCCGGACTTTTGGTTATTTGAAGACCGTGTCCGGTAGTGTCTGGTGAAAACTTTCTTAATGTCACGCTTGGATCTCTTCGCACTCTGTGTACAAGGTCAGCGAAACGGAGAACGTTGGCATTTTTTCACTTTTTAGAAGCGCTTGAGGATTGTAAATGAAGGTAGAATATTTTCCAATGAAAAATTAGTATATTTCAAAGAGAAATACGGAGTTGTTTGAGGACCGTGTCCAGCTGTGTCATTGAAATTTTTAAGTGTCAAGCGCTTCGATGTCTTCGTACTCTGTGCAGACTACAGACCGCAGACCGGGTACAAAATTCAGACTGAGAATTTTTACTGTTTTTTCGTCTGATACGTGATAACATGGCATCTTACAACTTACCGAGCGTCACGCAAGCGCTTTTCCGCTATCATCTTTCGCGATTATTTGCACTATTGTAGAATATTTCTTGTTTGTCTCTTGATCACAATCGTTCTTAATTTTTTCAAGCCTCATTTAGTATTCTCATTTTGCGCACGAGTTGGTTGGCGTGATGTCTGTACAGAAGTTACCAACTTACTAAAAATAGATGTGGATGTAAATGGATGCCAATATTGAATATTTAACCTGCGCAATATTCGAGAAATTCATCTTTTTAACCGATATGTGTTCATTTTGTTGACAAAAATGCGAACCAAGACCAAAACTTTTCTTTCGACTTGATATATTTTCAACGTTCAGAAGTGTTCACACACTGATTTTCACATATGTGTCTTATATTGTCATTGGTTCTCATGAGAAACTGGAGAATTTTTATAGGGAAAAGCGGAGCGTTGCCCTCGTGACTGGCCATTTGTTAACTTTTTTGGTGGTTTTATCTCTCGTCGGTTTGGTGACTATGTGAAAATCAGATTATATGAAGACTTGAAATTCTATAAGGAACGATTGTGGCCGCTTTGTTAAAAATCAAATGCAATGGCCGCTTTGTTTAAAACAAAAGATATCAAGAAACGGGCAAGGAATATTTAATAGATAATTACTGCGGCAGTCAGCTTTATGAGATATATTGCAGCCAACTGAGGGCGTATTCTGCCTAATGACCTCTGCCCATCCCACCTCCAGCCCACACAAACTTTTTTCCAATTCCCATCACTACGAATGCACAAGTTTTCTTATCACACAACTGCCCAAAAATAAAAGAAAATTTATTCCAAAAGTCTTGAAAGTTCACATGCACCGAATTCATCTGCACCTATATTCAGCAAGTCCAAGAAATCAATTCAAACCTAAGCCATAAGATGAATGAGCTGGCTCCAAGAGCCCTTTGATTTTCATTACTTAAAAGTTTCGAGCGTCTCTCTTTCATTAAAAACCAAGACAAAAAACATTCATAGGCATTGTTTTTTTATTTCTGTTGCGAGCTGCAGAGCCATTCAATGAAATTTGATCACTGAAAGCTTCCTGAACGGGAGGTTTGTGGGGTGGGGGGGGAGGGAATTGACAATAGGGGGGAGGTGGGGACACAATAGGGGCGAGGTAAACAAAGTTGTTGTGGATAACTCTAAAATGGTAATGTGTGCCGGCGGATGCCTACTTCCGCAAAGGCCTAGTACTTAATGACGAGTCAGAAGAGCCCCAGATATAAAGGGATGATTGTCGATTTCCTACCTGTTTCAAGACCTTGGGGAAATTAGCTGGCTGCAGGAAGATCAGGATTGGCACCAATTATAAATTCTTTCATCGAAAGATTGCTGGATAGAACTTGTTCCAACAGACTGTAAACAACTCTTATAAAAATTTCTTACAAAGGAGCTCTCTTAAATATAGAGCTAATAAAGTGTTTTCACTTATCATGTTTATTCGATTAAACGCCGCGGCGTTTATTAAAATTTTCGTGATTCAAGTGCGATGTTTATTCGAGGGCGGCGTTTATTTAAAATTCAATTTACTTTTTGCAAACAATAGTATGGTAACTGACCATTTTAATTGTAAAAAACAAAAACACGTTCTAGTGCTTGTCCTCAATTTCACAATCTGCGTGTTAATACTACTGCAATACTTAATGTGAAATAAAGTGAACATAGTTCACTCAATTTTAATTTCTCTGTCCTCTTCATGATCCGAATCCAAAAGATATAATGACGGATGTGCTCTCTCAAAATCAGAACCGGTACATTCAAAGGGATTTGTGCCTTGCTTACTCAGAACTTGCAACTGCGATAGAAGCAATAATCGTGCACTGCCACAAGGCTGTCGTTCCTTGGGGCAGTGAATCATGTCGTCCACGGGAAGGTTCAACATGTAGCTCGAGAGAGTTTTTTTTTATTACCTCTGTGGGTAGCTCTGCTCAAGAATCAAGAATTCACTCCAAAATGGTACTTTTCGGGGATAATTTCAAATTTCAGCAGCTGTTTCTTCGTGAATTCCCACGGTACCCAGCCAATCATTCCTTTTTAGTGCAAGTGGCCTTGAACGGCTTGTTATAAGAAACGTCCGGTGCCTGGATATATTTGGTGGACCCTTCTGGCACTATTACTTGATCGATTTTTTTTTCCGACTGCAATACGTAAGCAATACTATCTTCAGTTTTGCAGTCGAAGAAGTTCCAGGCTAATAGTAATCAACCACCAACCTGTATTTCATTGCCTTAGGGCCTGAAAACGTAATTAATTTTCCTCTAAGATTTTGGCCAATAGCTCGATGCGTTAACCGTTTCTGACAGTACAACGTCTTCACTTTGGCATAACATGTGAATGTAGTGTTGAGTTTAAAGTAAAAACGTGACTAAATCGCTGTCGAGGTTTTATTGCTAAGTGGATGTAAAAATTGATGTTTTAACGTTTTAGCTCTGCATAGGAAGACCAAGAAATGTACAAAGTCTTAACACACTCGTGTTTCGCTGTTGTTTTCCTTATTTGATCTTTTTGTAACATGAACGGTGCCCCGCGTGGGCGGGTGAATCGACCTTTAGACGTTTACATGGCAATGTTGCCCCCTTGCTGACAGGGTTACCCTACCCAGCAGACCGGGCAACCCACCTAGATGGGTCACCCCACCTATCATGTAAACGTGATCAAGATGAAATAATAGATTATATGGACAGGCGGGTTACCCGGACAGGCGGGTTACTTCACCTACCTGGGGCTTCCCATCTCCTTAAAAACAGGCCCTCAGTAGTCATCGGTCTGCTTTTTTGAGTCTATTATTCGAATAAGAGTCGCGTCATGTTGCGGAATTTATTCGGGGGCGGCGTTTATCAATATTCTTGCTTTAAAATACAGCAGTTACTCGAGGGCTTTTCATCGAATATAACGTAAACCGACATCTCCGAACTCATATAATGCTCATAAAAAATTGATCGATTCTAAAATAGAACAGGACAGTTGTAAATGCATTTTGACCCTCTCGATGAGCAGTTTGGTTTACAGTTAAACATGATTTATTTCTGTGTGATTTGTTGAGGACCGACATGCATCTTTCCGTGTACCAATCTCAATCAGCGAAATAGACCAGTTTGTGCGCACGTATACACTATAGTACATGAAGAAGCCTAGAACTTAAACGAAGTCAGTAATTTTCAAGAATCCGGCGACAGAAGCAAAATTCTACTTTTTTTTTTTATTCGCTCCAAAAGACCCTTTTGGTGAACTGTTTTCAAAAATTATATTCAAAAGTTCCAGCGAGTTTTTATTTTGGCAAAAAATACGAAAGTTCGAAATCGGCCAAAACGTACCTAATTTGTATAATTTCTATGGGCTTTCAGTGCATTTTCACGACGCCTCGTACAAAACAAAGAAAAATTATCTTAGATTCATTTTTTCACAAGATGTTTTTCATCCCTTGGAATAGCTCTCCAACTATATTTCCTCTCCAACTAAACTTTCTTTCGTTTGTAACCACCCGCGTAAAGTACATTATATTTTGTATTCCGTTTGTACGCTGAATTTTGCCATATTTCAGACGACCATAACATCGGGGGTATACGAATGTACATAAAATAAAAGAGCTCTTTTCAACGAGCAATTCTTCGTGCTTATCATGTAAAAATATTATTTTTGGCCCGTGAAAAGCGAGCGCGCCAGACCAAAATACAGCGTGCATTTTCACGGAGTTCGGCTATTTTCTTTGCTGTATTCCTATTGCAAATCACACGCTATTGGGACAAAACTCGAAGTGTTTGGTCTCAACTTCTGTTTTGATTCATTTAAATCTATCAATTATAACTTAAAAATTACCCTACCTTGATTGTTACGAGAACAAACCACCGTTTTAGGTAAAGTTTTTGAGTTTATTTTTCTCGAGTGCTAAATAAACAAATCGCTGTTTATAAAGATACCAACTCTGTCGACGTGTTTTTGGCTGAAATTGGCCCGTTGCTTATATTGTTCTTTAATTTATATTCTATTCCACTGGCATAACTTTAGAGCAATTTACAGGCAACTATAAATGTTGTAAATACGTGAGTGTGAGCTAAATAAAATCTTCGCACACATAAAATATTCGAAACATGTAGCTGTCGCAAGAAAATACTCGCTTGTACATGAACCTCGCGTATACATTCGGTGTTTTGCTCGGTTGCTTTTATAGATTTCTACTAATGTCACTGTAATGAAAATAGCATGTTTGTGTAGTCCAGCTGTTTAGATACATTTTCAAATTAACTCTAGGTTGGAATTCTATTTGAAAAGATTGTCGAAGAAATCTGAGAAATAATGCAACATATTCCATCTCAGACACTGATTCATGGATTACCGTAGTAGACCACTTTCTAACCCTGCCGAGAAATTATTCTCATGCAACATATAGAGAAATGCACTTACGTATATGTAGTCCATGTTTTTGCAGTAGATTATACCTACAGATCTCAGATTCCCCAGCGAAAGGTATCCTGAATCAGTTTCTACAACGCAAATACAGTTGGTTGGTGAGGTAACCCGCCTAGGTGGGGTAAGTCACCTGTCCATATAATTTCTTACTTTATTTTGGTCACGTTTACAAGATAGGTGGGGTGACCCGCCTTGGCGGGGTTGCCTGGTCTGCCAGGTAGGATAACCCTCTCAGCCGGGGTGACAATTTGCCATGTAAACGTGTCAAGGTGGGGTAACCCGCCTGGCCGGGGTCGCGTTCATGGCGAGCAGGCCATGAACCTCCATGTAAGCAGGCCTTTAGCATGCTTATTGCGTGACAAATGAAATTTGATGCATCAGTCGAAAACAGGTGGACTACACAAACACGCTATTTTAGGGCCTGTTTAAATGGAGGTGGAGACCCCAGGTAGGTGAGGTAACCCGCTTAGCCGTGGTCGAAAAATAATTTTTTAAAAAAAATTGAATTTTAGAATAGTTTGGGAAACGAAATGTGGTCGATTAACAACGCCAAATATTCCGAAATGTGAACATTTTACACTCTTTGTGTATTCGTTGCGGTTTCTTGTGATTTCTGCCATGAGCGGCTAGGAAATGTACAAAGTTTTAAAACATGAGTGTTTCGCTTTAGAGCCTTTTTCATGAAAGCGACCCCGGCTAGGCGGGTTACCCCACCTTGAGACGTTTACATGGCAAATTGTCACCTGGAGGACCTCAGGTAGGTGAGGTAACCCGCCTGTCCATATAATTTCTTACTTTATCTTGATCACGTTTACATAATAAGTGGGATGACCCGCCTAGGCGGGTTACCCGGTCTGCCAGGTAGGGTAACCCTGTTAGCCGGGGTGACAATTTGCCATGTAAACGTGTCTAGATGGGGTAATCCGCCTGGCCAGTGTCGCATTCGTGGCAAAAGTTCAAAAGCGAAACACGTATGTTTTAAAACTTTGTACATTTCTTAACTTTCTCATGACAGAAATCACGAGAAACCGTAACGGACACACAAGGAGTGTAAAACGTTCACATTTCGGAATATTTGGCGTTGCAAATCGACCATATTTCAAACTATTCCTTATAATGCATTAAGTCAATGGTTCCTCGCGTAACCTAACACGGCGTAACACAACGCGTGACGCTTTCATGGATAAATACATATGAGTCCAAGAATTAATATTTCATCTTTCTCGAGACGTGAGCTTGGGCCGCCTCTGCCCAAACTTCCTAATGGCAAGCGCAACAACAACTTTAATGAACCTCACCCCAGCACCCCGAGGTCGTAAGATTGTATGTAAACACGTTTTATTTTTTCGACCACGGCTGGGCGGGTTACCTCACCTACCTGGGGTCCCCACCTCCATGTTAGCAGGCCCTCAATTACAGTAACAGTGGTGGAAATCTTCAATAGCAACCGAGCAAAACACCGAATGTATACACTAGGTTCATGCACAAGCGAGTATTTTCTTGCGACAACTACATGTTTCGAATATTTGATGCATGCGAAGATTTTATTTAGCTCACGCTCACGTATTTACAACAACATTTATAGTTCTAAAGTTATGCCAGTGGGACCGATTATAAATTAAAGAACAATATAAGCGACAGACCAATTTCAGCTAAAAACACGTCAACAGAGCCGGTAGCTTTGTAAACAGCGATTTGTTTATTTAGCACTCGAGAAAAATTAACTCAAAAACTTTACCTAAAACGGTGGTTTGTTCTCTTAACAATAAAGGTAGGGTAATTTTTAAGTTATAATTGATAGATTTAAATGAATCAAAACAGAAGTTGAGACCAAACACTTCGAGTTTTGTCCCAATAGCGTGTGATTTGCAAGAAGAATACAGCAAAGAAAATAGCCGAACTCCGTGAAAATGCACGCTGTATATTTTGGTCTGGCGCGCTCGCTTTTCACGGGCCAAAAATAATGTTTTTACATGATAAACACGAAGAGTTGCTCGTTGAAAAGAGCTCTTTTATTTTACGTACATTCGTATACCCCCGATGTTATGGTCGTCTGAAATATGGCAAAATTCAGCGTACAAACGGAATACAAAATATAATGTACTTTACGCGGGTGGTTACAAATGAAAGAAAGTTTAGTCGGAGATGAAATTTAGTTGGAGAGCTATTCCAAGGGATGAAAAATAACTTATGAAAAAATGAATCCAAGATAATTTTTTCGTTGTCTTGTACGAGCGTTGTGAAAATGCACTGAAAGCCCGATAGAAATTATGCAAATTAGGTACGTTTTGGCCGATTTCGAACTTTCGTATTTTTGCTAAAATAAAAACTTGCTGGAACTTGTGAATATTATTTTTTAAAACAATTCACTAAAAGGGTCTTTTGAAGCAAATAAAAGAAAAAGTTGAATTTTTGCTTCCGTCGCCGGATTCTTGAAAATTACTGACAACTTCTCTTAATGTCTCACTGGCATAGCATGTTGCTTGATTCAAACAATATTACCAGTTATAAATAAAAAATAATGACAGGCTGGCTACACAATGCTATAGCTAAATGACAACCAGTAGCATCATTTTGAAAGAAACCTTAGAAACGTCCTTTGTGGGTGACATAGTTTTCTAAGAAAGTTTCGGTCAATTTTTTTCTACTTATTTAAACACAAATATTTTATATTGTACAAAATTGGAATAGATGTAGTGATAGCGCAAGAAAACTCATCAAACATTTCAACTGATTGTATCAAAGCTGAAAAGTGTCCTGATACAAATGTTTGCCATACTAATTATACGGAAGCTTGAACAGTTTAACTAAGGCTTCCTGAAAAACACACGACTGATATCCGAGAGATTCTAACTGTGTTCAAAGTAATCTAAGATCAATCTTAAAGTGATCGGTGTCATAGAAAGACAGCAATTAGCCTTCGAAAGAAACACGCAAGATAAATACTTAGGACTTTTGTTTGATTCTAATAGTACTTAGTTGGGAATACAGCAATCGTCGGCTGGTGCAAATTCAAGCTTGTTCATTGAAGTGAGATAATTGCAGAAATGTGCCGTGGCTTTACTGAAACTCTTATATCTCCATTGCTTGTCCATCGGGAATTGTTATTTAATTTATTTACTCAGCCTCAGATTTGTGTTAAGTTTGTCGAAATCAAGATGCAAACTGACAAGAGAGTGAGCTGCTAAGTATAAATAGCTATATTTTTGGTATTATTGATGGGGAGCAGTCTATCATTGTCATTTGGTTCCTATTTCAGAAATGGCTTCAGGATTTACACCAGCTGCAAAACGCTCCCGAACGGAAAATGAGGGAGCTTCAGTTCGCAAGCGAGGAGAGGAGCTTGGCATTCCTTCGAAGGACATCTGCCCAGCCAAGATAAGTAAACGGCTTGCGGTTTGTCTGATAGGTCAATCAACAACTAAAGTTGGCTGCAGAATTAGGGCAGAAAGCATAAAGCTGTTTATGATCCATTTGCATGATCCTGGGGCAGGAAAGTCACCTGCCTTTCAGCAGTGTTCAACCAGTAAGATTACATGTTGAGGCGAAAGAAGATATCCACTTGTTTGTGGATGAGTTCACTGAAGCAGAACTGTTCCGCCAACTCAAGGGGACACCCGGCCACAAGGCCATCATTGGAAAAGAAGAGGCGTCCCATTTCTTTGAACAGTTACTTGGAGGGTTACGAGAGAAAAACAGGATTGACTTTGATAGGTTGATCCAGCTGTATAATGGGGGTACATGGGTGTACGCGAGAGATGACGAGACAACATGTCAGTTCATCGACAATCCAGCGGTTTCATTGAGTGGATATAGCCAGCCTGGTCGCTTTGTCCCCATAAGCTGAAGGAGAGACGAGATAGTCGTGTTGACAGGATGATTGTTTATCAACCACTCACACATCTCATGGCAGCCCGTGAGACGAGAGAGTTCATAACGAAGCTGAATGAATCTCCTGTGAAAGACTTCAGGTAACTTTTTACTAACAATTTATATTTCTCTCTAGCTTTCTTTCTTATATCACATGTTTTTTCACTGGGATATTTTGGTTTGATGTGAATTACTCTGCAACATACATCTTGTAATACAATTGCAAGAGTAGAAATATGCAATTTGGATGGGGTGTATGAGTAACCCTTTGTCATTCTTATGCAAACCAGCATTTCGTGTCTGCAAGTTTTTACAGTAGTTTGTCCATCAATGGTGAACAATTCAGAAACACTGAAGAACTTAAATGGAATTAAACCTGATTTTTTTCTTCACGATTTCAGGGTCATCCACTCGGCCATTAATGAATTTTCAGATTCAGAAAATGGGCCAGCTGCCTACTCTTTACACCACGCTGGCAATGAAAAATATGAAGATTTCATTGATGGAATATCAACGTCTTTGAGTCGCCAATGAGCTCGTAACATGTCATCTGAGGATGTGTCTTAAGACGATAGATATGTTTTAAGGCTGGCTACAGTTCTACATGTGCCCTATGACCAGTTGCCATGACTTTTAATTTCGCAAGATGATTATCTCACAGCTAGAACTTGGGCCGAATGCGGTGCTATCGATGCGAAAGATTTTCACTATCAAAGTTTTCTTGTCTCTTGTCCATCTAGCCGGTGGGATCTTGGAAGGGTTAAAAAATGCCGCCGACTAGAGTTACAGCTTATATATTTAGCCAACTTAACCCCCATGTTAGTCTAACACTACATTGGAATCACCCTTTTCAGGAATATTTCTATGCTCTTTGGTCTCGTTCCTCTGGCTATTGGCATCTTGGATGACTAAGAAAATATAACCGTGCAGCCAGAGAGACAGCCTAGCCTATATATATGGTGAAGTAAGTTTGAATTCATTTACTAATTTATGAAGAACGTTTGAACATCTCGCTCTAGTGTTACGCTTCCATATTGTTACTTGATAATTTCGCGAAAATGGAACAGGTATATATTTCGTCAGAATTTAATTTCGCGGTTTGGCCAAAAACGTATATTAAAAGGAACTAAATTTTAAGTAATAATTGTCTAAATGCTGATCTGTATCAACAAACAGTGACTCTTAGAACTGGCCGTCCTTGAAGACCCAGGGGCTTCGAGTCGATTTCAAACCAAGGTGGGAGAGCTTGAAGTCGACCCACTGCCCCTGGGTCTAAGAGGATGAGAATTGACACAACTGCTTTTAAGTTTCCACGGCAGTAGTTTCCAATGACACTGAACAAAATTATTTTATGATAAAAAAGAAAATGAAGACATCTTATATGTTACTTTACAAGGGGCTTGGTAGGAATAGATAATTGGTGACTGCACCTAGGATATCTTACAAGAAAGGTAGGAAGAAGATGATATTGATTCAGACAAAGAGAACTCACACACTAAAACTAAAATAAAGAAAATGGAGAGCAGATTATGTGGTAAACTGACGTTTACGTTGATTAAGGTATTATATTCCAAGGTGTTAAATTTCGCGAAAACCTTTTCATGCAAGTCACCGCCGCCTGGTTAACATAGGCGATTGAGTCCTGGCTGTCGTGTGGGAGTTGGAGGCGTCAAGCGTTAACGGGACACACACTGAGGGTCTTAAAATAACTGAGGAGAAAGTGTTTCCTTTGCTATGATATCTGCAAACGGTTAGCTGTTCTAGTCTTCTCGGATAAGGACGATAGACCACACGCCCCGTCTCTTGGTCTTCTCAGTAATAGATTAAGAAGGGGATGTTAAAGAACCCACTCACTTCTCGCAAAGAAAAGAGAACGTAGCTCCCGTTGTTGTGGTCTGGCCTTGTTATTGTTTATAAATCTTTCAAGATCCTCCATAAGTATTTTCTATATAGAGAGGTGACACAATTAAGGAAGAGGAAGAAGAAGAAGCATTTTCCGAACGGGGAAATATAGCACGTGATGTCCATCTAGGCTTAAAAACCAACCTTGAACCTTTGGCTGATGCCAAATTTATTTTAGTTTGTAAACTTATTTTGTTTAACGGTGAAGCCTCGAAGGATGGGCTGCTAACTGCTCTGAGTTGGGCTATGGTTCCCATCCAGATTTCCTGTGATATTTTTTCCCCAAAGGGGTTTTATCTGGCAGGTTTTTTTCTGGCCTCCGTATAACCGTTGTAGTGTCTTTCTAGGCGGTTGCCCATCTCTGTTAATCCCGACTTGGTGACATCAACATACTAGTGATGTATACCTATTTTTGAATGTGGAAGGAGTTGATTGTATATCAGGATTGTATATGGTATATCAGTTGCGAATGTATGCATGTATTTACGCCCCGGGTTGGTTCTCAGCAGGCTTCCCTTAAAAAAAAACGTATTTGGTTTACACTACTATGTTATTTGTTGTGTGGTGGAGACTAAATTGGTAATGTATTGCCGGCGGATTCTTAATTTGGCATTCTCAACTGAGTTCATATCGTAAATTGGCCTCCGTAAAGAGTTACGAAGCAAACGTTTCGAGCGTTAGCCCTTTATCCGAACTAAAGCTCGAAAAGTCAACTTTGTAATTCTTTACGGTGACAAATTTTCTTTATCAACTCAGATCACCCTAATCAACATAAAAGTGTGACAGCTATGCGATACGAGTTGTGCACGTACCGTAAATATCTTGATGGCTTTTGTATTTTCTGTTTAAGAACGCTCAATTTATTTTCACTAGTGTAAGCAGATTTCAAGCTTTTTCTATTCTCTCTCATAATCTAGACACATTTGTTTCAAAATTAGTCTCATTTGAGGGTACCTCGTTTGCAATTTGTACATCCATGAGTTCGCGTTTCATGAATATTCTATTTCACCACATTTCAATTTGTTTATTTACCGAATTATCCCTTCAATGCTTGCTCAATTTTTTTTTTCACGAGCGTAGTCCTTTTAAATATTCTATTTTTCCCGATCGGAAGACAAGCCTTTGTGTCAAATTTAGTGTCATTTGTGTTGACACTAAAAAATATAGATCGATTCGTCTGCCTCAGCTGACAACCGTATTGACTCTCTGACTGAATTTGCTTTTGAATATGCAAAGTAAGATGTGTGCAGCTAGCGAGCTACAAACCCTATTACTAAGATATAACATCGCCATCTTGTGTATTGACAAGAAGAACCTCGATTAGGTTTTGCTAAACCAAGTCTCACCAACACATCTCCTTCATCAGCAACAGCTGGAAGCTCGTCGTTCATCACAGTGATCCGGAAACTAAATGGCTTTTGACGTACGTCTTCCATTATTTTGCATCTTTGCTCGCTTTGATCGGTGTTATACAGTGTATTCAAGTGTTTTCTTTTGCATCTGTAAATACCAACAGACGGGCAACGAGTGTGTTCGTGAAAGCACTCGCCATTAAAATCCTCCATGTTGGATCCTCCTCCATAAGGATGTGAGATTTCTAGAGGATCGCGGCTTTTTTCGAAAAGGTGTTCCTCTCCGATCTGAAGATCGGGATCTTTAGAAAGCCAGGTGGAAGTACTTTCCCGTAACGCAGGCTTAATAAATTTACCCTGCTCCATATCTAAAGCGATGTACACTCCATTGCGCCTCTTTGCTTTGACGATAATAAGAAACTTCAATAAATTCTTAGACATTTTCAGAGGAGCACTCCAGCGACATTTAAGGTACCTAGGTCAATTTTTGCTGAGTGTGTGTCACTGGCTTTTTTTACAACCCCTACCCACTAGAACATTCTGTGGCCAATCATAGACCCCATTACGGTCACTTTTGGTAATACGTTGACAACTTCATAATCTCGAATCTTCTCATTTTCAAATCCCTACTTACTTACACCTCGCGAAATGTGCGACCCCATTCTGGTAATTCTATTGCAAATGCAACCCCAATCAATCCAGCTGTGAATATGTGACTCCATCCAGCGGCACATCCCATTAGCCTACTCTCTCAGACTCAAAGGTAGCACTGCTGATCAGATTCCAACAATTAGGTTTTGATTGGGATTAAGTCGCAACTAGGAGCGTGGAAGGTAAGAGTTTCTGGCTGTGTTTTTAAGGGGCGGTTGGGCGGATTCCTGCCCCTAAAAGTTTTGAATATATGAGAAGATTAGCACAACACTCGGAGTTTTGGCATAAAATCGCTATCGAACGCTATTACACCCAAATATACTGGAAAAACCCACAAAGGATTATATTATCACTATAGGAGGGAAAACATTATCTTTCTTTGCCAGAAGAAAGGTGCAAAATTGAGAGATCGCCAGGCGAAAACGGAAAGTCTTCGACTGCAATGTGAGGTGCGGAAAATCTGCCGTGCGTGTCTTTTTAGAATCTTAAGATACGTGACCTGTAGCGAGAAGTGATTTGAAGTGAATCACGCGATGTTGTTTGGAGGCATCTTTAATGACAACTCGTCTGCAGCTTTAGGAGAAAAAAAGGTAGCTTTTTCTTTATGTGTACCTTAAAAGATTTCTGTTATATTTTTTTTGAAACGATCTTTCCTCCCGACGACGAGAAACACATCGCAAAGTTAGTCTTCATAGCGTGACTGTGTTACTCGGTTTTATGTGTTATTTTACCTTTGAGAATAATGACATGTGCGCATGTCGTGAACGTGTCGTTCCTCTGAGTCTGTTAGAGTACCAACCATTTCAGACTCCTTTCGTTCTCTCGTCGGAAGATCAAGAAACAGGGAGACAAATTGGTTCAAACTCACGTCAGAGTTGACCCGGAGAAAGCACAGGTACAGACAGAATAATAAAGTTATTCGCTTTGTAACTTTAACTTACATTTCGTTAATCCGTTGTTGACTTACGGTAATTCATTCGCGCTAACGTGTATAATCATAACGCGAATAAACTTTCAATACGAGTCTTTGGAGCGTATGTTGAACATATATTCGATGCATAAGCTATTTTTTCTCATTTCAGGACGATTGCTTAGCCTCTTAACGTGCCGTGGGTGTAATTATTTCGTTTGAAGCACTGTTCACGAAAAGAACATGTGAAGAGTCGATCATGAATTATGAATTGATCCTCACTAAAAAATTTGAATTCCATACTTTGGGGTCTGTTTCGTATTCAGACGAACTGTTTTACTTTCAAGAGTCGTTCCTGAACTAGATTAAAGGGACAGGTGATGCTTTTGTGAAGATCAGAAAAACGTAATGCGTATTACTGAAGGGAGAAGTTGCCATTTGCCATTGTGGAAACTGAGAGTGAAACCCTTTTCACACGGTTCGTTTCTGGTGTTAGAGAATGACTTGCTTCCTATAATTCAATAAAACGTTTTCCGAGAACTCGATTTAGGCATTATTTGTCGATGCAAGTTTTTCAACAAGAATTAATATGCTTTCAAATTAAATTTGCTATTGAACCATGTAACATTTTGTTAATTACTGTTGACTTCCTCGCGCATGATTATTTCACATTCTAAAGTTCCCGTATCAACACCTGCTCGGGGGTGTGAATAAATTAGTTCCTTATGGCTGCCTATGTGTTTATTCTTCGTCAATCTAGATATTATGCTGCTTAACAATTCTACACGAAGTACAATTAGCCCAAGTTTCCCAAACCTATCAGTTTCCCAAACCTTTGCAATTTGTCAAATTACATATTTACATATTGGATCTCATCAGTTCCCAGTTTGACCTGTTTTGTTCTAAAGTGAGCAGCCATCAGAGGATTCCTCTTAAGTTCAATTATTTTTCAAGGACCCCTTTTCAGCATGATCCAGCGAAACAGCCTTATGTCGTTGTCTATGTCTTTCAGATTGTCCTAAAGCTTTCTTCATTTCATTATACTGTTCAATAGCAACAATTACTGCCTTAAATATAGCACCCTAAATGAAATTTTTGTTGTTGGCATTATCTCTTACATTTGATCAGAATTTATTCTATGTTTTTATTTTTCAGAAATTATGAAATATCCATCATTTTCTGACTGCTCATGTTGTAATTTCATAAAGGCAGGAAATCTAAACAATGTAGGTATTGATGTTCTTTTTCTTTCTCTTTACCTGTGGCTCTTTTCTCTCCATTTTTTCCCTCTTTAAATGTGATACATATATGTAAGGATTTTTTGTGTCTTATTCTCATAGGAATGAAAAATGTTTATGTTATTATGTGCTATTCTATTTTTTTCATGAATATCATTTTGCTTTGAATATGAAACATGATGCTAAAGTAGTAAGATAGGTCACCAAGTAAATAATTTCTCATTATATTGCACCTTGTAGCTGAAATGCATCTTATGATTAACAAGTTGCTTTGGTTGTTGCAGGGGTAATGAACAATATAGGATGCAACTGCTCGCTTTAATGCAAGGTTCTGTATTTGTGACCCTCCATACGATTTTAGGGACAAAGGTGATAAGCACACTCACAATATGCTTCTACTTAAAGCATTGGTATTTATAATTATCAACTTCCTGATCAGAAAAAAACAAAGTTGAAACATTTGGCCATGAATGAGTTGCATTAGGATTTAAAGCAGACACTTCAAGTACTTTTTTCATCTGGAGAGGTTACTTTTGATGATGTTTGTAGCATTTCAAAGCACAAAATCTAACCAACATGGTCTAGATATTCATAAATTGCCATTACATATAGCTATTAATGGCCAAAACGTTTGTGTAAAAGTGTATTTCATCAAATGGCCAGAGCGATTTTTAGGGGATGGTAAAAGTAATGAAAACCATCCTGGCCCAATTTACAACAGCTTAAATGGTGAAATTTGAAATATTTTATGTCTAGCCTATAATCATGGTTTCAACATCAATATCTATGGTTTGTCCTTGTGGATGTTGTGATGGATGTGATGCCTCAGTAATGTTGCTAATGACTATTATTCTTGTGATTTCTGTGGTCACTCTAGAAGTAGCTATGGAGGATGCATATTCTCAGTCTAATCATGCAATTGTATAGATGTATATCTTTCTTTGTAAAATGGCCTTTGTAATGATATGGCTGAGATTTTTTGGTTCATTTTTTAAGATGCTAGGCAATGAGAGATTTTAACTTCCAGGCATTGCAACCTCTGCTGGCTGTGTTTAGATGTTTGTTCTGCTGTTTATGGGCTAGAGGCAGCTAGAAAATATTTATGGCTTTGGCACTGGTGAAAATTGTATGGGGTTGCTGCACTTATCCTTACAATGGTAGCCAGAGCTGCTTTTTACTGGTAGTATTAATCAGTCATGCTGATTTTCTCTTGAGTAGATAATTCACTTGACACGTTTTTGCCAGTGGACGCTTTTTTCTTTGGAGGTGGTAATATTACAGAGACTGTTAATCTTTTGCCTTAGACTTTATTGTTCCAGTGATCAATGAACTAGGGCACCATATTTTGTACTGGTGCATGAACCTCAATGACCTATGTATTGTATTGGTGACAGTTAGAGCTACCTTCATCTGGTAGAGTTAGCACACAGCTTTTAAGAAAGGGTGCATTTCATAACAGTGACTGTGCAATCTGTTGTCTAGGGTTGTACTGACCTAATCATCAATAAGCAGAGAAACCATGAATTGATAGAAATGCTTTTAATGTCCCCAGGTGTGATAGTGAAAGAGCGACTTGTTAGGAAATCTGCAAATTTCCTTCTAAGTTGCTCTTCCATCCAGGAATTTTGGTGCTGGGAGGGAATTCCGGTGTCATGTTGGGTGATATACCTGTAAGGAATTGCATTTAGTTTTCCACTTAGAGGATGATCAATACCCCATACTGCCTAATTCTATGGACATTGGGATAGTTAAGGTGTGTAACATGGGTTTTGGCAAGCTGACCCATAAGCAGCCTTTCTAGATGGTGCGTTATAGCTGTAAGCTGCCATTTAGTGATTTTTGTAAACAAAGTGACCTGAAGTAATATCACTCCTGTATTTGTTGTGTTGGTATTTTCTGGTCTAGTCATGGAGTTGGTTCCATTGGCTGACCTGATAACACACTGATTCCATATTGATGACAAATTTCCTAACACAGTGTTGTTTGTTGGTGGTTATGTAGTTTTTGTCCTTGGAGGGATGGTGATGGATGATGCTTCTACAAGTATGCTTCAAATGACCAAGTTAGTGCGATGATCTTTGCAGGGTGGTACATTGAGGTTGTGTTGTCTTGCTTTGATGTTACACTGTGAATATATATTTGTGTCAGCTTGTGGATCAAAGTGGAGTTATGGAATTCAAGTTTAGGTATAATGGTAAAGCTGGCAATGGTCAGATCTTTGTGATGCTACATGAAGTAGTAAAAACGGGTGCGGCTTTTGTATTAATTCTGGTGGAATTGTTGTTGGACTTGTCCTTGCTCTGGAGACTGGAGCTGCACTTAAATCACTGGCGATTCTTTTTATCAAAAGGAGTCATTATTTGCCAATTGAGGTGACTCTGGTATGAGGGGTAGTGGCATTCGCTTAATGCCTATGGCTTTGCCTTTTAATGTGTTGAGCATGACTTGATTTTGTGTGTTACTCGATTGTCAGTGATGGTTTTAGTTCTCGTGTAGTAGCAGTTTCGGAAGCACTGTTAGTTGGGGATGTAGGGGTTAACTAACCAACTATAAATTATAGTTGGTGATGTTATTGCAGTTACTACTCCTAGATACATCTTAAGACTTACCTATGCAGTAGTTATTTGGTAGTGATAAAGGTGGAAATGTTCCAGAACGTGATGATCTGTATGCGAGTGGCTTGAATTTAATGCGTAACGGTGGCGGTGATTATTGGGAAATATGTGTTTCGGGATTTCTGTTTTAGTAGCATAGCTAACTTAATTGTTTACTTTGGCGGCTGTTCCTCATTGAAAGCTTGTAGTAGGCACTAATGTCTAGTTTACCTTCTTTTTTAGCATTGATAAATAATTCAGACGATTTTAAGATCAATTGGTTTGGAATATAGCACTCAAGGTAAGGCGACGTGCTGGATTATGAAAGAGTTCAACGGACGCTTTCATTAGTAGTAAGGGAGAGGTTTTGGATTGGTAGATCTCAAGATGATGTCTTACTTCAAATATTCAAGAGTATAATTACCCTCTATGTCGACCTTGGTACTTAGAAGGCATATTACATTCCATTAAGAATGAAACGTCAACGAGCCACCAGAACTGGCTGAGTTTATGACCTCCGAGAAGAAATAAAAACTCTCTCTTAATTAAAAAAATGTGTTGAGATGAAATATCTCAGATTAAACCTCTTATTAAGTTCTTTTGTTGGTGTTCCGTGCGTTAAAGGATTTAGAAAATGACATTGCGATTCGAAACCATTCTCGGTCTTAATTGGCTTATGGAAAGTTTTTTTCCAAATAGGATTGATTGACATAACTTATTGTCAAATCCATGTTTGACAGGTTATCCTGGTAAAGTCAGTTTCATGGCTACGGCTCCATCGCCATTTGCGTTTACGAAAGAGACAACCAACTATGCAAGGCTATGCCGCCTCCTGGTGGATGTTGGATCTCAGGTGCTCCGGTCCACTTTTGACAGAATACATCCACCAGCGACTCTACATAAAGTTTTGGGAAGTACCTCAGTACATTACGCCACATTGCAATCACTGTACAGAGGGGAAAGAAAGTGCTTAATCCCACGCAATGGGGAAGTTGTATCCTACTCACTCGCCCGTGTCTTCTGCAGCCTTCGATATCACACTTCTAACAGTGCTTCTTAGAAATATCTGTGGTTTGTGCTCTCCTGCAAATGGATGGGATCGCCTTCCCCTACCTACAAGCATAAGCATCGCAGATGACATTGCCAGAGTTAAGTATTACAGGAACACTGTATACGGCCATGCTTCTCAAGCCTCTGTGGATGACAGTAGTTTCAGTGCTTACTGGCAGGAAATACGAGAAGCTTTGGTGAGACTGGGAGGAGCTCATTTTAGAACTGAAATCGACAATCTTGAGCACGGCTGCATGGATCCAGATATCGAGGAGCATTATCGTGAACTGATGAAACAATGGAAGAAAGACGACGACAGCATCAAAGACAAGCTTGAAGAAATTGAGGGTAAGAAAAACATTGTCCACTGCCAATATGGATGAATCAGAAGACTACAAAAGTATAACTTTGCAGAAAAAGTCGATTCTTCTTTCATTTAACTAAATTGAATTAAAACAAATTCTTGAACCTGGGCTAATTCCTTGAGGGAATTTTCGCGGCAACCTCTCATGTTGGGGCTCCATTTTCATCTTATTTCCATATTTTGTTTACATCACGCACTTTACAAAATTCAAAGGCGGAAGAAAGTCCATGGGAAAAAAGAAAAAAAACAGGCCCCAAGAAGAAAGAAAGGGTACCATTCTGTCAAGAAAAGAAAACATTCCTTTGTGAAAGTTACTGGTGCTAGCGGAGCTCCACGCTTGCGTCCAGATATCGACCAAAGAAGTCGCCGTCAAACCAAAATTTGCCATACATGATGGTCATTATTGTTTCGTCCTCCTCAACGCTCCACTGAGCGATCGAGGTAAAAAAAAAAGTGTCTGCAATGGGTTACTTTTCCCGGGAAATATTTATCCATCGTCAATGACGCTAGGAGGTCCCGTTGCTTTATTGGTTTGCGGTTTCAAGAGGCAAGATAATCTCTTGGCGTGGCGCGAGTTGTTTGCGAACCGTTAGGAGCTAAAATTTCCCATTTGATTTTGGGTATATAGATTTGACAGATTTTCGTCAAATTTCTCCGAAACATCCCAGGAATAATGGGAATCGAAAGTATGTTGAGAAATTTTGATATTTGAAATATTTGTCCCGTGGCGTCCATTTACGCAACAAGACTCGCATATTTTAGCTACTCCAACTTAAGATGCCGTTATCTACACAATCAATCAGAATATCGAAAAAGCCTGACACATTTATGTTGATTGATGCTTTGTGAATTAGGCTGTGGAGCCATTTTGCACGTGCTGCATACATATACTTACATATACTTTATTTACGCTCGAAATTCATAGTGTAGCTGTAGAGCTAATATCTTCGAGGAAATAAGCTAAAATAAAATAAAAATATGCTTTATTACAATGTCAATATTATATATAAACTGTGTACAACATTATGCATGCAGAGGGAATATAACTTGTAGATCTACTGTGGTAAAACTTCATATCTGAGGATCCCCTGCTTGAATTCTAGAAAATTTAATGTTTTGTAAGTGTCTGGGAGAGAGTTCTATATTTTACTAGCTAAGTATGAAAAAGAGTGCAGACCGTAAGCATCCGATACCCGATGAATTTAATTGAAGAACCTTCGGTCATTTAATGTCTTACCGGCTCCTGACAGTTCCTTAAAAGGAAGGTCGCTTAAATTATATTTTTATCCTAAACTGCATTTATCAAGCTTTCTTCTGATATATAGTTTGCTAAGATTTTTAGTGAAATTAGTGCGCGTACGAATTTTTTCCCGAAGGACACCCGCAAAGGAGGGAAATAACCTTAACACGGCGGTGTAGGCCTGCTCATGACGTTTACTAAACGTAAATCTTGATGTAAATGTGCTTATGACATTGCGCTTATCTTTCTTACATTTTCAGATTTGCTAGGTGACCTCGGAAACAAAACTGAGAAGATAGAGATTGAAATGAAGGAGATGAGAGAGACGCTTAGTAGCCTGACGACAACAGTGGAAAAAAGCACAAATGAAGGTTGGTTGCAAAAAAAGAGCTACTCACGGATAAACTGAACTAACGACGGTGATTCCGTTAACTTGAGTACATAACACATCTTCAAAGCATGACCACATTATTAATTGGTTTTGGCCATGTTAGCATTTTTTGGTAATGTATACTGTTTTAAGAGCACACCCTGGCTATCAACCTGCTCTGGCTACAAATGAAAATACTAGGTAATGTGTGGGATGAATGGATACCATGGAATCTCAGGCTACCTCTCGGTATTGGATAGTTTTCTGACAGCACTCATAAGCATTTGACCGACAAGTGTGAATGTCTTATTTTTAGTTTTTTGTTAAGGATAGAATGAATCTAACTTCCTAGACCATTAGATGTGACCTGCATATTGTTGAATGAACTACTATATTCCTTCCTCCACTCATAATTTATTGTAGAGTATTTCATTCTACATGGAAAAGTCCCTGAATGAGGGTTGTCCTAGTAAAAAGGGACAGGATAAGGTGTATGTGGTTATTTTACATTTTCCCAGTATAAAACTGTGAACGAAACCTCATACTTCATTGCAGGTGGACCTCTGGTTTTCTCCAGCCTTTTTGTTATTTTTACTCATGATTAAACGACTTGAAAAGAAAGGACGGAAAGGCGACTTTGCTATTCTTTAATTAGTTCTTACTGTGTCGCTTTTTACCGACAAAAAATCTTACGCAGGCTATCGGCTCCAATAATATCAATATTTATCTCCTGAGTAAAAACTTTACGACAAAGTTTCACTATCAGACACCGTTTAAGCCGAACCATAAGTTTTTTTAGAATGTTGTCTAAAATTAACCCTTAACACCCTAAAATTAAAATGCAATCTCCATACTCTCCTCTTTACATTTCCTAAGGTGCTGATAAGGAGAATTAGTTTCACAATGAAGAGTTTTTGGTTGGTGATCACTTCCTTGATTCTCATGACCTTAATGTGTGATTCAGGGGTGATGCTGTGAGGAGACATTAGATGCTAATCACCCTTAGGGGTCAAAGGCTTACAACAAACAATAGACGAAAGGGAAAGGATCTATTTAGTTATCTTTTCTTTCATTGAATAAAGTGGTTCTCACTCAGAATAAAATTTCTATTGTTATTCCATCGTCAGATACCACAAAAGAGTCTCTAGATAAAATAATAGGCGAAATGACAAAGATTGACAGTGAACTGAAAGAAGTAAAGGAAAAGATGTGTACTTCTACAGCTTTCGTGGGAGAAAGCAAGGATGACGGTTAGTTGAATTTTGTAATAAAAGTTATCCTGCTTAACCGGGTATGTAGCCGTAGTCAACATGTCCTAAATGTGTGAGAGAAATCATCCTATCTTGAGGGATTCAGTTTTTCAATTTTAACAGTTTCTGGTATGCTTTCATTCCCTTCAATGCTTTAACTGTGGAGTACAGTTCACCTCTGGTCCTCACAATTTTATTACAATTGCCGTTCTAAAATTGCTTTTACACTGATATTTGGGGTGGCGTATGGAAGCCACTGTTTAGTGAATACCTGCCAACTAAGAGGTGGCGAATTTTCCTTCGCAAGACATGGAGTAAAATTTTCCTTCAAAATTTTACCCGTAATAAGTGTCTAAACATTTTACTTGATGATCCGTTTTCGTCTGTTTTCAGCTATCACTAAAAACGATGCCATCTTTGTAATCTATGACATTTTCCTTTATCATACAGGAATAATCAAAGATTCAGTGAGAGAGGCACTTATAAGAATGGAGAACGAAATAATAGAGAAAAAGGAAAAGCTGGTTTCCTTTGAAGGCTTCAGCAGAAGAATGCAGAGATCAAGGTCAGTCGTGCGAAAGACAGCAGTTTTAACTGCAACATTGGTATTAAGTTCAGCTCGATGTTAGAAACTATCAGAGTAGGTTTGACTGAATTCATAATCTAAATGGCTTTTAACCAATAAACATGAATCATACACTGATACCTTTTTGCATCGTCTAAGAAATTTCTTTGGCAATGGTGTTGTAATCATTCACTTATTTAAATTCAGTGCTGAATACCAGAGGGACAACACAATTTTCACCACCTCATTCATTAGATTTCTTACTCATTTTGCTACTGTTAGGTATTTTTGATCCAACTGAGCTTATTAATGGAATTCGCCAGCTGTACAAGACTCGTGAGGGATGGCTCTCACCATTTCCATGGTGTGAAGAGTTTCAGTTTTTTCTTGGCAATATTTTTACAAGGCTCAAAGTGGTCAGAAGAAAGAAAACGAGAGGAGAAATCACTGACGTATTTGTTGACATGTCGTGTATACTAGACCCGTATGAAGAGTGTTCAGCGCCGAGAACAGTGTTGATTGAAGGAGAACCTGGTATGGGAAAAACCACCTACTGTAAAAAGTACGCCTACGACTGGGCCACAAAACAGCAAGAGCCTCAGGGCTGCAGCGCAACAGCATTCAAAGCAGTATTGTTGCTGAAATGTCGAGACATCTATTCTGATGTTTGGGAAGCCATTGATGATCAACTTCTTCCCCGAGACATCGATGAAGAAGTCAAACAACTATTCTTTCACTTTATTCGTGAAAATCAGTCCAGCATTTTATTGATATTGGATGGATTGGATGAGTTACCATCCGGCAAATTGTCGATGTTTTCCGAATTAATTGAGGGAAGAGTACTCCCCAGATGCCACATAGTTGCAACAGCAAGACACGAAACTGGAAAAGAGGTGAGAAAATGCTGCGACACGCTGCTTGAGATCGAAGGGTTCACTGAAAACCATGTGAAAGGATTTATCACCAAGTACTTTAAAGAAAGGCCGGATTTAGCCGCCAAGCTCTCGGAACGAATGTCCCGAGATAAAACCTGACAGAAATGGCAGCCAATCCCCTAAACACAGCACTTCTTTGCCTTTTGTGTGAAGAGTTTGAGGGCACACTCCCCGAAAAACAGAGCTCAACTTTACTTGGATATGATTGAATGTGTCTTGAGAAGATACAGGAAAAAGAAGGGACTATCAGAAAAAGGAGAGGACCTGACTAACCTTTACAAACCGCAATTGAATCACCTTGGGTCAGTGGCCTTGAATGGTTTACTTAACGGCAAATTGGATTTTAATGAAAGTGAATTGGCAAACCATGCAAAAGAGTTAACTGAGTTTGATTTCTGTCAGTACAGCCTGGTGGCAGCAAATTGAGACAAAAACTGCATTATGCTTTCTTACATAAAAGTTTTCAAGAATGCTTTGCAGCATTCTTCATTTGTTCTCAGATTCAAAGTAAGGAAATTACACTTGAAGAACTAGTTTCCGATCCAAGGTATTTCGTTAAACTTAAAGAAGTACTTTTTGTTTTCATGCGAATTTTAGCCATGAAATGCGATGAAGGAGTTGTGGCTCTTGTAAAGAGTTTAACAAATGAAGTCAACAAAAATGCAGGCAGTGGTACAAAAGTTGTATTGGAGGCCATTAACGAATGTAAAAGAGAAAAAGTGATTTTCACTCACAGTTAGCAAAGTCGTTTGGAACTGGTTTGAAACTCACCAATTTGAATTTGTCTGGCATTGGTTTTAGTGACGCCGGTGCTACATCTATTGCTGAGGCAATCGAAGTCAACAAGACGCTCACCAATTTGAAGTTGTCTCGCAATGGTATTAGTGATGCCGGTGCTACATCTATTGCTGAGGCGATCAAAGTCAACAAGACGCTAACCAATTTGAATTTGTCTTTCAATTGTATTTGTGATGCCGGTGCTACATCTATTGCTGAGGCAATCAAAGTCAATAAGACGCTAACCAATTTGAATTTGTCTTACACTCGTATTAGTGATGCCGGTGCTACGTCTATTGCTGACGCAATCAAAGTCAACAAGACTCAACCAATTTGAATTTGTCCGACAATGGAATTAGTGATGCCGGTGTTACATCTATTGCTGACGCAATCAAAGTCAACAAGTCTCTGACCAATTTGAAATTTTTGAATCGTATTCGTGATGCAGGTGCTACGTCTATTGCCGAGGCAATCAAAGTCAACGAGACGCTAACCAATTTGAATTTGTCTTACACTCGTATTGGTGATGCTGGTGCTGCATCCATTGCTGAGGCAATTAAAGTCAACAATACTCTAACCAATTTGAATTTGTCTGACAATGGTATTAGTGATGCCGGTGCTAGATCTTTTGCTGACGCAATCAAAGTCAACAAGATGCTAGCCAATTTGAATTTGTCTGTCAACCATATTAGTGATGACGGTGCTACATCTATTGTTGGTGCAATCAAAGTCAGCAAGACGCTAACAAATTTGAATTTGTCCAGCAATTATATAAGTGATGCCGGTGCCAGATTTATTGGTGAGGCAATCAAAATAAGGAGACTGACCAATTTGTATTACGATGGTATTAGTGTCCACGGTGCGAATTTATTGCTGAGGCATTCAAGGTCAACAAGACTGTGACCAATTTGTATTCGCCACTCAATGATATTAATGTTGAGTTTGCTAGATTTATTGCTGAGGCGAACGAAGACGACAAGAATGTCTGAGAATGTGATTGGTGATGACGGCATTATATTAAGTTTTTTGAAGCATTTGAGGTCAACAAAACCAGCGGTGTTCTTTTGTGGCGATTCCATTGCCGCATCTTTATTTTGCTGAAGTGATTAATGTTAAAAAAAAAAAAAACTGCGGGTTTTGTATTTAAAAGATTATCATAGATATTTTCATCATTCACGAACAGCAACATTTTTCCATTCAAGCTGATACTTTCCAAGTTTCGGAAAAAAGGAGAAGTGTAATACGCCATTGTTTTTAGAGTTTTGTATTTAAAAGATTATCTATAAACCAAAACATTTTTTCATTAAAAATTTAAAAATTTATAGGCACTGATTTTTATTTCTGTTGCGATCTGCAGAGCCATTCCATGAAATTTGTCCAATGAAAACTTTCTAATGGGGAGGTGTGTGGGCGTGGTAAATAAAATGGTAATGTATTGCCAGTAGATGCTTGTTACCACGAAGGCCTAGGACTTAATGACGAGTCAGAAGATATGCAATAAACAGGCTGTGGGAAGATAAGGATTGGTACCAATTATAAATTATTTCTTAGAGAGACTGGCAGATAGAACTCCAACAGATGGTAAATATAGAGCTGATAGAGTGTTTTCACTCACTGTATTTGTTTGATTAAACGCCGTGGCGTTTAGTAAATTTTTTGTGGCTCGAGTGCGGCGTTTATTCAAGGGTGGCGTTTTCACGAGGGCGGCATTTACTTAAAATCCAATTTATTTCTTGCAAACAATAGTATGGTTAGTAACCATTTTAATTTTAAAAACAAAAACATGTTCCATTGCTCGTTCTCGTTTTCACAACTTGCACGTTAATACTACTGCAATACTTAAAGTGAAATAAAGTGAACATAGCTCACTCAATTTCATGTAACTGTCCTCTTTATGATCCGAATCCAAAAGATATAATAGGCTCAACTCGCAGCTTAGGAAAGTTTTTTTGTGGGTAACTCCGCTCGAGAAACGAGAATCCACTGCGAAATGGTTTTTCTCGAGGATGCTTTCAAATTTTCGGCAGCTGTTTCTTCGTAAATTCCCGCGGTACCCAGCCGTTAATCATTCCTTTTTTAGAGCAAGCGGCCTTGAACGACTTGTTTCAGCAAGCATCCGGTGCCTGGATAAGCTTGGTGGAGCCTTCTGGCACAATTACTCGCTCGATTTTTTTTTTTCGACTGCAATGTGTAAGCAATGCTATCTTAAATGTGGCAGTCGAAGAAGTCCCAGGCTGATAGCAATCAACCACCAACCTGAATATCACTGCTTTAGGGCCTGTTTAAAAAATGTGGGGGACCCAGGTAGGTGAAATGACCCGCCTAGCCGTGGTCTAAAGATATCCCGCGTTTACATACAATCTTACAACCCCGGCGACGTGTGGTAAAACGTTGCTGAAAAAGCATAAGTTTCTTTCGTTTAAGATTTTCGCTAATAGCTCCATGCTTGACCGTTTCCGTGATGTTTTAACGTTTAAACTCTGCGTGGGACGACTAGGAAATGTACAAAGTCTTAACACACTCGTGTTTCGCTTTTGTTGTGCTCATTTGGTTTTTTTGTAACATGATCGCGCCCCCCCCCCCCTCCCGGCTGAGTGGGCTACCCAACCTTGAGACGTTTACATGCCCCACACAGCAGACAGGGCCAAGACGGGTCACCCAACCTGTCACGTAAACGTGATAAAGATAAAATAAGAGATAAAATGGACGGGCTGGTTACCCCTCCTAGGCAGGTTACCTCACCTACCTGAGGTTACCCACCTCTATCAAAACAGGCCCTTAGTAGACATCGATATGCTTTTTGAGTCTATTATTCGAAGAAACGCTGCGTCGTGATGCAGCATTTATTTGAGGACGGAGTTTATTAACATTTCTGCTCTAAAATACGGCAATTATTCTAGGGCGGCGTTTATTCCAGGACGGCGTTTAATCGAATAAATACGATACATTACATATGAAGACAAGCAATTTTAGAACGTAAACCGACATCTCCGAAGTCATATAATGCTTATAAAAAAAATGATCTATTCTAAAACAGAACGGGACCCAATTGTTCAAAGGGTGGATAACGCTATCCAATGGATGCATCGCTATCCAGCGGATAAGTGTTAACAAAGAATACTGCACCATCCATAAGATGGAGATTTATACAGTGGTTATCGTTATCGAACAATCAGGACCAGGTGGACAACAGTTAGCCAGTAGAGTGATCTTAACAACACGTGGTACTTACAGTTAACGATTTGGAGCACAACTAAATAAGTGGGTTTTTGCTAAGTTTTTAATTTCTAACAACAAAACCGTGTAAAGGAAACAAAAATTGCAAACATATTAATTTTTCCCCTACAAAGCCATAATGGTAGGATTAAGAAGGACAGTAAATTGACTGCTGCTAAAGCAACGCTGCTATGCTCCCCTCACCTCTCGTACAACCCCTCCCTCCCACCCCCTTCGCTCCTTACCCTACAAGAGCCATGATCCCTCCTTTAACTACCTGACCACACAGGCTGGAAGGAGAGAAAACTTAAAAACTCAGCAGAAGAAAAAGAGAGGAAGTCTCCGCCCCTTCCCCTTCCACCTCATTTGCTTTCGTGGTCAAAACCCATTTTCAGTCTTTCCTGGGAGTGGCTTCTGATGTTTGATACCAATATATCCTTCGGGGAAGAGAAATGAAAACAGGAAAAATTCTGAGAGCAAAGGTAGTATTAATCATATGCCAATGTTATATGTATTGCACTGAACTGATTTAAGAACCCCGATGGCTTTTCCATATTTTTAAAGTCGTTTAAAGCCACGCACCTTACAATCAAATCACAATCAAGCTGTCTGCAGTAACCTGTGTGACGTTTTTTAAAACATTATTCTCAAAGATGTACTATCTGTTGAAATATCTGCTTCATTCCAATAGAGGAAGTTTACTACGCTATTATTTTTACACTTCGGTTACCGAAGCAATTTTACTGACATGCGATATTAAGGAAACAGGAAGGAACAAGTTTGCTTGGATACTAGGGATTTGGTCGAGATTATACTGAAATACCTGTGGTGAAAGATGAAGGAAACCAGTTATAAAGGTTAATTAAGAGAATAGTGTACTAAAATAAGGATATGCAGGAAAGAGATTTTTATATGAATTCTGCGAATGGATAAAAAACTTTATAAAAAACGTCTACTCATTTTGCTCTCAGAGTCATGTAAAGAGTTTTAGAGACCACACTTTATTTATCACCGTGGTATGGAGGATTTTTTTTAAGAGAAGGGAGGGGTGGTGAGGGTCTCGTGGTTTCCAATGAACGGAGGGTGATCAGTCGTCGTTAACAGAG